GAAATTGGACAGATAATGCTTCACAAAATAATAGTGATACATCAGTGGGGGATGTGAGAACCAAATGGAGACTGAAAGCCTGACTTGTTGCTAGCTTAGTAGCATTATCTCAACGATTGGTAATTGGTAATACGGAAAGAGCCATAATCAGAAGTGGCACTTGGTGCCTGTATTAGTGGCTCAGGTCTGTAACACTAGCTACAGAGACATAGATGGGGATTCAATAATTGAAGCCCCTACATGCCTAGGCATGAAGGTTTTGAGATCCCCCTCTTGGGCTGGACATGGGGCCCATGCCTCTCATCCCCAGGGACATTGTAAGCACAAATAGAATGGTTGTAGCCCAAACCAATCCAGGTATAAAGTGAAGTAAAGAGACCTTATCTCAAAAGTAATCAAGGTAAGCTGGGTGCTGGTGACTCACACCTGGAATAGCCTGCGAGCTAAGGATCAAAGTTCAGAGCCAGCTGGCAGGAAAGTCAACTGTGGCTCAAAGTGGAAAAGTGCTGGCCTTGAGCAAAAGAATTCAAGCCCCATGACCACCCCCAAAAAAAGTAAGTTAAAAAGGGACTGGAGGTGTGGCTTGAGTGGTAGAGCACCTGTTCCACAAGCATGAATCCCTGAATTGAATCCCTAGTACTCCTGAAAAAAAAAAAAAGAAAAAGAAAAGTGATACTTGCCATTCAATAACCAATTTTAGTTGACTTTTTTTTTGGGGGGGTCCGGTTGTGGGGCCTGAACTCTGGGCCTGGGCACTGTCCCTCAGCTCTTCAGCTCAAGGCTAGCGCTCTACCACTTGAGCCACAGCGCCACTTCCGGCTTTTTTGCTTATGTGGTGCTGAGGAATCGAACCCAGGGCCTCATGCATGCAAGGCAAGCACTCTACCACTGAGCCACCTTCCCAGCCCTGGTGGTGGCTTTTCTACTTGAGTCATATGTCTCCTTCTGACTTTCTGCTGTCTTTCAGATTTGGATTTATCTGCCCAGGGTGGCTCTAAACCTCTGTCCTCCGATCTCAGCTTCTTGAGTAGCCAGGATTATAGGCTGTGCCTGGATCCCTTATCACTTCTGATTCATGGTGGTTTTTCAGTGCAGTCTCACAAAATATGTGTTGATTGTAATGGTTAGTAAAATCCTGGTGGTTGAACATTATGATGTGTACTCTTTGGCTTTACTGTGAGACTAATGCATAAGTAAGGGTTTGTGAATGGCATGATCCCAGGGACAGTGTATTAAGATGTCTTCAGCTCTGCTGATTCAACATGAGAGTTTAATTTTTTTCTAGTAATTTGTGCAACTTGTATGATGAGACCTGCAAGTTCTATAAATCAGTTTTATACTCCTCTACAGAAGGATTTGATTTTGGAGGATCATTCTACTCTTGTAGGGCACATCTTAAGAGTAGATATGAAGCTGGGTGCCGGTGGCTCACACCTGTGCTCAGGAGGCTGAAACCTGAGGATCATGGTTCAAAACCAGCCTGGGCAGGAAAGTCCGGTTTATCTCCAATAAACCACTAGAAAACCAGAAGTGGTGCTGTGGCTCAAGTGGCAGAGCCACTTACCTTGAGCTGAAGAGCTGAGGGATAGCACCCAAGCCCAGAGTTCAAGCCCCATGACCGACAAAAAAAAAGTGGATACGACAGAACCAATTTTTGCAGTTTAAATAAATACTGTACTCTTGGTTTCAGTGTACAGGCAACCTGACCAGGAGAGCTTTGAGGACAGGTGATGGAACATGGTAGATGATAGTGTATAGAACGAACTGAAAGGGACAGCTGTAACGATGATCTTGCCCCAGCTGCCTGCTTGACTAATGGGAAATGTGAGGCCTAGTCTGGCTGGGTGGCAGGTCTCTCCCAGGGACTTACTAGCAGAGTCAGGACCTAACTCAAATTGCCTTTTTTGCATGTGGCCCAGTATAAACAAGAAAAAGTCTTAAAGTGAATGCTCCTCTGGAATATATAATAATGCAATCAGATCTTTGTTCTTTTGTGATAAAATTATAGTATGCCTTTGG